AATATCTATGACTAAATATTATCATAATCTCGAATACTGTGCTCCGTTGTTATAGGAAAGAAACAAAGTGGTACGAAATGATTTTGCATAATGGATGAGCATTTGGTTTCTATACATTCACTCACTGTACACAGACGAGGATATAGAAAGCTCATGAATAAAAAGTTATTAAAATCAAAACTAACAAATAAGTTTCCTTTAATAAATAATAGGGTGGATGTAATACTAAAAAATAGAGATTTATCCAAGTCATCGTATTATTTAACAGCAATTTCTTATAGCTTATAGAATGTGACCTATAATCATAATACATATGAAATAAAAATATGAATAAACAGAATAACTGAAATCAGTAAAAAAAAGGAGACCTACCTTGATTATGCTCGATTCTTGTATGATAAGTTTCACCACGTACACGAAAACTTAAACTTAAAATATGTGTGTCATGACCACTATCACGAACTAAGAAGCTACCGTCTGGTCGTTTAGCCAATAAAAATTGAGCATCTTGGAAACTTAGTGGACCCCAATACCAGCCCATCTGTTAAATAAACAAAATTTAAGAAATGTTTTTGGTCTAAAACATACTTAAACAATTTCCCAAACATATAAAAATTAATAGCAGTAAAAAGGATGTTGATTTATATATTAATGGGTGAATTATTAGATATTTAATTATTCTGAAAAGTTGAAGATATATGATAAAAACTATTAATATTCCTATCTCCAATAATAAGTCACAACTCTAACAAAAAGAAAGTCTACAACTGTAGTAAAAAATTAAATTCCCTGGAATTCGTGTGGATAAGCCACACATGAAAAATCGGTGATTCTTTATTTACAAAATCATACACATGACTCTATTAAGAAAAACTTTTTATCACATATTTACAATCAACCAGTTTTAAATGAAACTAATTTTTAATGAGAAGAATATATAATCTAATTTGATCTAGGTTCTAATCCCACTTAATCTATTTAGAGATAGAGTACTGGTCAGTATCACACTAGTTTTCAGTGAACAACGTCTCAAGTCAAACACACAAACCTCAGCTTATTTAACGAGTCGCATAAAGATAAAATATAGTAATGTAGTGAATGAAGACTAGGTGGAGATAACTAATTTATTGTTTAATGCAAAATTACAGAGTACTTTCTCAAAATATGAACATCATACATCAGATACATCATTATCACATCTTCCTACAGTTGTACTTTACATGCCTCATGATTCTTTCAATTCTGCTGTTATTAAAATTGTTGTTTGTATACATCCCTGTTCTTTTCGATTCAATCTTTTGCTGCTAGACATTCCACTTCTGATTGGCGTTACATATTACTTATATCTGTCAACATAAGTAACACACAACACAGTAGCATTAGATACTAGAAACTATGATTCAGCTTGAATGATCTAGACTTCGCAGATGATCTGGCTCTTCTATCGCATACACAACAACAAATGCAGGAGAAGACAACCAGTGTAGCTGCAGCCTCAACAGCAATAGGTCTCAATATACACAAAGGGAAAAGCAAGATTCTTCGATACAACACAGCATGTACCGATCCAATCACAATCGACGGAGAAGCTTTGGAAGATGTAAACACCTTTACATATTTGGGCAGTATCATCGATGAATACGGTGGATGTGATGCAGATGTGAAGGCACGGATTAGCAAAGCAAGAGCAGCATATTTACAACTGAAGAATATCTGGAACTCAAAACAATTAGCAACCAATACCAAAGTCAGAATTTTCAATACAAATGTCAAGACAGTTCTACTGTATGGGGCGGAAACCTGGAAAACTACGAAATCCATCGTCCAAAAGATACAGGTGTTTATTAACAGTTGTCTACGCAAAATACTTCAGATCCGCTGGCCGGACACTATAAGCAACAACCTACTGTGGGAGAGAACAAATCAGATCCCAGTGGAGGAAGAAATCAGGAAGAAGCGCTGGAAATGGATAGGACACATTGAGAAAAACACCCAACTGCGTCACAAGACAAGCCCTCATATGGAATCCTCAAGGTCGAAGGAGGAGAGGAAGACCAAAGAATACATTACGCCGGGAAATGGAGATAGATATGAGAAAAATGAACAAGAATTGGATGGAACTAGAAAAGAAGGCCCAGGACAGAGTGGGTTGGAGAATGCTGGTCGGCGGCCTATGCTCCATTGGGAGTAACAGGCGTAAGTAAAGTAAGTAGTGATTCAGCTTGGTTATATGAAAACTGTCGATGCAGAGTACGACGTGAATCCATGAGGTACTTATTTTCGGTTGGTATAATAAATCAATGAGCGATATACATGCATAATAGTTGTGTTAACTCATAGCTTGACCTATGAAATTAGCTAACCAATCAGTCATCATCAACATAGAAGTTGGCACAGATGAGCGCTAACCTAAGTTATTTGACCACAATATGAGGAGACGAGAATGACAGGATAAGCAGAAGCAAAATCGAAAGAATTTAGTAGCAGTGATAATGACGAAGACTAAGCACTGAAAATATGGTTTAAAAAACGGTGAAAAGGTATGGATGAAGGAATACTGGAACGCAAAATTGAGAGAAAAATGGAGTTGATGCATTTACGCTATCGTGAAATAAAAATTAACTGAAATCAACCCAATGGACAAAAATTGTTGGAATGTTTTTTAGCGGAAATAACCGTATCAAAATATGACGCTACAGTTTACCGAATCATGTATGTAAATATTCCATGAAGATGCTGATGATGACTAATACGACAATGAGAGCTTCCCAACTAAACCATCCAGCTCAGAAAACCATATATATAGAGAGAAAACACCAGATTTGGATAATAATGGTTTTTTCGACTAAATTAAATGTTTTACATAAATTTAACAGAGTAGTGAATCAGATCGAATTGTCACACTTTTAAACACCATAAACAGCAACTTCACAAAAAAATGAACGCAGAATAAACAAGTACAACTTAATCAATACCCTAGATTAGAAGTGTGTCTACGGCACAAGAATCTAAAGCCAGGCATACAAACTGATTTTTATCAATTCATGGTTCGCACACATTTATTCAATAAGCCTATAGTCCCCTATAGAGCCAACAATAAAAAACCCTAGTAATTTTTTGAGATATCTGATTTTAGACACCCTACTTTCTTCTCTTTATATGTAATTTACATGATATAGAATGACTGGTCACTAGCTGATTAGATGGGGCTCACTAGTCTAAATACACAAAATTTCACATTGATTAGAATATATATATGTCAGTTTAAGTCAGCCAACTTTACAATCGTCTATCATTTCAATGATGAGCTTGTAGACACTAATCAGAATACCGCAATACTCATGCTCTCAACACAGTTATCACGTTAGGCTTGAACAAAAAAAATCATTAAACTTTAACTATAGTGAGATTTTGTCACAGAAGGTTGTCAAATGCTATAATTATAAAATGAGAATAAATACTACTTATATACCATTCAAACATCAAAATGAAAACATATGCGAAAATCGACTGTAGTAGAGAAGAGCAAAAAAGAAATTTCATAATATTGAACAAGGCTTGGAGTACATATATATATATATATATATATATATATATGTCAGTCAGCTGCAACGTAGGACCAGGCACATGTATGCATCTGTCCAAGTTGCCATACCGCATTAGCACAGCAAGATGAACACCGGATTCATAGAAGTAGTCACATCAAAGGTAGTAGTATATAAAAGAAAGATTGTGTATTAGGATATAATACAGGAAGAAAGAATTAGTTCGTAGAAAGAAAAATATGAAGTGATTTTAATCTCTTAGTTTGAAGGAAGACAGAGAGTGTATACACCGACGCCATCGTGGTCAATTCTGAGCCATGTCACCCACAGTCTTCAACCATTGGTTACGACCCCAACCAGGCAGTCTGCATCTACCAACATGGCTCAGACCAGAAAGTTAGTGACTTCAAGGACTGATGACAGGTTTTGGTTTGGCCGCCCCTAACTTTCTTCCAACCATCCCCAACCCTAGTCAGCGTTGCCAATATACATATATACAGTTTTCGTTTGCTGTAGCGATAAGAGGATAAATAAACTTCACTCAACTGGTAGATCTTCAACAACAAGATAAACCCAAACAATATCGAAACTATATAGGGGTATAATAAAAGCAAACTAGTAGAGAAAACCATGGACAAAAAAAAAGAAACTGATGAAATATTAATTAGAAAAATGTAAAATCGTTGTTACATTCATAGAAAGTTTACGATTGTTCTAATTTTGGGACTATTTATTCTAACGAAGAATATATAGACAGAAACATATAACATTATAATAAAGTATATATGAAATAGTTCATTTTTAGACAAATGATTATGATACATACAATTGTATATAGCACATATAATGAGTCATATAATATTCATACCTTTATTTAATAATATAAAAATATAATCACAATCATAATCAAATTGTTTAGTACATATAGAATACAAATAATATAATGTAAATCTCTATAGGGATAAATAGAATAAAACTAAAATTTGGACAAGTAAATTACTTGATAAAAAGAAATAGTATTTACAGTTAAGATTTCATTAAAGCATTTATACAAGTTTGTATAGAATTAGTTGAAGTTAGACATTAACACCGTTGGATGCTGGCTCACATGTCTGGTGGGTGAGCGCTCGCGCGCGAGACTGATAAGTCTTGGGTACGAATCTTGCTGGGAAGGCGAGATCGTGGATGCGCACTGCTGAGGAGTGCCACAATAGGACAATAGGTTAACAGTTACTGATGGTCTTCCTTGACTTAAAAGCAGTATTTGACTCTGTAGACCGAGAGGTTCTGTGGCAGTGTCTGTCATTGAAAGGTGTACCTCAGAAGTACATAAACCTTATGAAGGCTCTTTACTCGAACACTACTAGTCGGGTCAGAGCTTATGGCGAACTGTCATCTGCTTTTACAACCTCAAGTGATGTCCGTCAAAGCTGTCCACTTTCTTCTTTTTTGTTTAACTTTATCATAGATCTCCTGATGGAAATAACGCTCTCATCGACTGAATTCTCGGGCATTGGTCTCCTACCAGGTGGTCCACTTATCGACTTAGAATACGCAGATGACATAGTCGTGTTTGGTGAAGACGCTGATAAAATGCAGTGCCTTCTGGTAGCACTGAGCAACAATGCCAGAATGTTTGGGATGCGCTTCTCTCTCTCTAAATGCAAGTTGTTGCTTCAGGACTGGTCTTCGTCAACACCTGAACTAAGGATAGGGAGTGAAGTAGTCGAACGCATTGACAACTTCACTTATCTTGGAAGTCTGATCAGCCCTAATGGGTTGGTGTCTGACGAAATCTCAGCACGCATTCGAAAAGCTCGTTTGGCTTTTGCCAAAGGTAGGAGGGAAAAAATGAACTTCGTCTACATGAACAGAACAAGAGAAGCACGCCACAAAATCCCTAGCATTGCGCTTTACTTTCTCGGATAAATTTGGTCGAGACTTATAGTGATAAATATTCATGTGTTAAAAAAATAGAAAAAATCAGCACTATCTTACCTTTCTCAATTCTAACATGCTTCGATGAAATGAAGATCGACTATCTTGTAACGCAGATGACAACCTTTGGCTAGATGTGCGTGTTGAGCTGATGGGCGCTGTTGTACTTATACTATCAGACGCCCTAACATCATAGGCGTTATAGGTATGACAACTGCTCACAGGCTGAAAAAGAAGAAACAAGAAAAAATAGTCCGATGAAGTGTTCAGATACAAAGCTGTTTATTGATTGGAACCCTGAAAAATCAAATGTATCGTTAGCTTACTGAGAGGCATTAAAAACTGAAAGAGGTATCCATCTATTAATATGAAAAAAGGGTTTTAATACGCACGACATCGTTCCTGATTGTATTAATAAAGTTGGATAGTAAATTTACGACATTAACGTGGGAAACTGTTACGTTGACGCGTCTTTTATTTCTTTGGCATTGCAATTTGCTAGTCTAATACCATATTGGAGTATGGATATTAAGAAAGAATATGTTCCAGAGAACCGAAGCAACAAAAAGTACGAAAGTGGGGGAAAGAGAGTTTATATAGAATTTATGGGAAAAACATTTTCAAACCGTTTATCAAGTTTGATTGTTCGAAAATGAACTAGTTGACATATAGCAATTAAGCCTTGTACAGAAAATGGAATATTCAGACTGATCCTCAAGGGCTGTTATTCGTTTTGGTCGACGATGTACTGTTCATGTCCCCACCCTCCACCAAATGTTAGAACACCGTCATACTTATCAAACGCCAACAATCGTAGTTTTTCTTGACATAAGGGATGCCTTCAATTCGTTGGATGGGACTGTTCTCTGAGATTGTCTATTGAAGAAGGGTGTGCCTGAGAAGTTTATTAACATCCTAAAAGCCCTATGTACAAACACCTCAGGTAGAGTGAGGGCATACAACCACCTCTCTCCATTGTTCCATTCAAGCGGTGGGGTTAGGCACAGTTTCCCAATCTCACCATTCCTCTTCAACTTTGCCATCGATGACATTCTGGAAACAGCTCTGATGGATGTAAGTAATGGTGGTGTGGATCTGTTGCCTGGAGAAAGACTTCTCGACCTTGAGTATGCGGATGATATTGTCTTACTGTGCGAGAATGCCCAAGCCATGCAATCCGCACTTAATCAGTTGGAAATCAATGTCCGTAGGTGTGGTATGTGCTTTGCACCCTCGAAGTGCAAAGTACTTCTACAAGACTGACAGGATTCTAATCCTGTACTCACTCTGGATGGTGAGCAGATAGAAGTAGTCGAGAAGTTCGTGTGTCTAGGTAGCTGCACAAGTGCTGCTGATGGTGGCATGAGTGATGAGATCAATGCACGTATAGTGAAAGCCAGAGCGGTTTATGCCAATCTAGGCCATCTTTGGTGCCTTCATGATGTTAGTCTGGCTGTAAAAGGTCGGAGCAGTTTTGCTCTATGCTTGTGAAACCTGGCCTCTCCAAGTTAAGGATGTTAGACGACTCTCTGTGTTCGGTCATCGCTGTCTCCGAAGGATTGCTGACATCCAATGGCAACACCATGTTAGTAATGCAGAGGTTCGGCATCGAGTGTTCGGGCACAGGGACGATAATGCAATTGGTGTCACCATCTTGAAACACCGACTTCGGTGGCTTGGATATGTTCTACGAATGCCATCCCAGAGAATTCCATGTCGTGCATTATTTGCCGACGCTGGGACTGGTTGGAAAAAGCGGAGAGGTGGTTAGTGTATGACATGCAATCTTTCTTTTATATATTACCACCACTGAATTAACTACTTCTATGAATCCGGTGTTCATCTTGCTGTGCTAATGCGGTATGGCAACTTGGACAGATGCATACATGTGCCTGGTCCTACGTTGAAGCTGACTGACTGACATGGTGTTGTGGTATGAAACAAAGCTGTAAAGGACTGGTTTCTGTTGGTCCTTCACAACTCCATGGTTGGGGTCCTAGAGATGGTGAAACACAGTGGTTACAGACGTTATCAGATATGACTCAGAATAGAAGCCAGTGGCGTTCCAGCTGTAACTTTTTTTACTTTCTGAAAAAGTGGACGTAACTTCTTTAACTGGGAGAATTTTTTCTGGTTGTACTTTTGCTAACTGAACCGCCTCTCCCGTTACTATTTCATTATCACACACTAATTTCTGTGCTTTATTGTTCTCCTTTTTCTTATATGCACTATGTATTCTCTACCTTAAACTGACAGGAAATCACATGGAGTGAACAAACCTCTGTCTATTTCATAATCAAGTATTTATGAGTTCGCACACATGAAATAAGGGATCACACTTCATGCGTAATCAAGCCGTACGTGACAGAGATCGCTAGATCGAAATGCGCGTAATTAATTACCAATTACCAAGGAGTGATAAAGCATGAAACAAGAATCCAACGAAAGCTCATAATAAAGGGAATAGAAAAACACAACAATCCAACTATTGAATAACTATACAGCAGAAATACAAATAGTGGTTCTTCGTTAAATAATTCTAAGTTACAATATTACCAATATTAGCTTTGTTACAACTACTAGTACTACTATTGCTACACCGATTAATAATATTGATACAAATAATAATAGTAATAATAATAATAGTAGTAATAATCATAATTATTGTTGCATATATATATATATATACTTGGAATTTCTCAAAGGTAATTTTATTGTCTATTAGATTCAACAAGAAAACTAGGGAGGATTGGATGGTTTTTCGCCTTATTTTGAAACTTCCAAACGAGTCCCGATGACCAGTAGCGAATTGAACCCAGATATGTCAAAACTCGTAGCGATCTGGCAAACCGTAAGCACAAGCAAAACAGAAGTTCAGCTTTCCATGGTTTTTGATGGTTAGTTCAATGGCAATCCTTGATGTTAACCTTTCTAATCAGTTATCTATGTGCACATCCACAAATTTAAACTAATTCTTAGTTTTTACTACTAAACTAATATCGAAGTAAATACCTGTGCTTCAATAATCTGCTAATAAATTGTTACGCAGCGAACTGTTTTAAAATTCATTTAATATACATACATCAGGAACTGTTTTATGAAATATATATATATTTAACTTTCAGAAGGAAAGAGATAATAGAATTAATTTAAACTTTACGATGATGACTCCATGGAAGACGTTTACAAAAAAATAATTTTCAATGAATAGGTGACTACTAAAACTTTACTCACAACTTGTTCCGCAACGCCAACCTGCTGATTCTGACAGGAAGATGGAGAACTGACTACTGCTTCCTCTACCGTGCACGTTTCCAAGGCAGATGCAATTGTTGTCGGTGGACGTTGTCTGTCACAGACAACTGGACTGGTAACTGGACTAAGAGGACAGGATGCAATATCATTGGAAACACCATCTGCACATTCGTGGTGATGATGGTGGTGATGAACATGATGGACATGGTGTATGTGATGGACGTGATGAATTTGACCATTCTTGTCAATTATAGTAGTTGGATGTGCCCCAAATTCGATACCTTCAGTGCAGTTTAAGACATTTTTGTTGGAATCGACAGGAACCTCACAGGGAAGGTGAGAAGTAACTGAATTTGTAGTATCACAGTTAGAATTATTTTCATGTTCTTTAACCAGTAAGACATCAGGGTTTAATGGAAGGATCCCCTCAGTGAACTGAGTAGTAGTAACTTCATCGTTGTTTTGTTCTTTTCTTCTGTGGGGTTTCGATATACCCGAACAATTTGGACTGTTTAACCAAGACCTATGGTTTTTGTGGTTGGGACAGCCACAAGCTGGAACTTTTGTAGATGAGGAATGATTTCCCATACAAGAAAAGCATTCTCTAGTAGAATCAAGCGGCTGCTATTGATAGAGAAAAACACAGTTGAGTAATTAATAGCTTCGAATAAAAGAGATGCGTGTAGTAAAAAATATGTAACACAAATATAATTAAAAGGCTTGACTATCGGACATGTTATTAAAGATAATACTAATGATCACATACTAAGTGTACCTGATATTAGTAAATGGAACTCGGTAACTATCGATATTTACGCACTAAGCTGTGAACTAAATTTACCGAGACAACAATAATGGGTCCCTAAACTATTGAATCAGCATTGCCACCAACATACTGAGTAATACAGGTGAGACTACTAAATTAAAGAGTAGTTGATTTAGCCATCGGCAAAGAATTGATCACGTTTCCTGAAAAGTTCCAGAAAATATATTTCGACTGGGTTATTAAGATAGCTAAACCAGACCACAATAACAAAGTAGCAGCAACGACTGGGGGTGAGAAATAGGATTTGTCATGTTAGACCTGATCAGGGTTAAAAAGGCTTATTATAACAAATGATTTTCGAATTTTCCCAATTATTCAGTCAGTCAGTCAATAACAACGTGGAACTTCGTACGTACGTACATCAGTTCGAGTTGCCATACCACATTAGCGCACAGATACAATTATCGATTTGAATCCCGTAGTGGTAGAGGTAGTGAAAGTATAAGTAGTAATAGAGGACATTAGGGTTTGATGATGTTATTTAAGGAGTATAATCCAGTGAAATAAATTTGGAAAGACAAAAAAAGGATATGAAGAATTCGGAAAATTATAATTCGGGAGAACACAAATAGTGGATGCACCTGCGCCATTGCAAACGATTTTGAGCCATGTTATTCAAGGTCTCTAACCGTCGGTTGCCATCGTCTCGCGGATCCCAACCAGATAGTCTACACCTACCAACATGGCTCAGTCCACTTGTCAGTAACTTCATGGATTTGTGCCATGTTTTGGTCTGGCCGCCCCTAGCTTTCTTCCAACCTACTCCTACACCATAAAACACCGCACGTCGGGACAGTCGGTGGTTGGGCATATGAACAATATCATAATAACGTCGCGCGTGACTAATTTAACTCTCGACTGTAGGGCAAAGGAAAAACTGGACAGAAGATGAGTCCGAGGTTTTGTCACACTCCAAGTAAATTTGAAGTCAATTCAGAGTAATTTGCTTGTAGTAGCACGGAAAAGTATCAGGAATTTTGTGGTTATTTTCGGACCAGGTCACAGATTCTAACCACTCCCTAACTACCAAGGTTCGTGCATTCGGGCAGTACTAGTGACCCTCAAAATATGACCGACAACTAGGCTCATAAACTCACACTTCACAAAAGTTACACTAACACTTAAAAACATTTTCTGCAGTGAAATAACTGCTACAAAATACCAGTGAACAAACTATAACGAACCATACATAATTTCTTCCTCGGAATATCAAATACTCTCTTTGGTGGATTATAAGAACCGTTCATGAAAAATAGCCAAAATATGGAGATAAATACTTACGTTTACGTGACCGGATACATAGGGAGAACAAGCACAAATCATTGCGAGGGCAGACTCTGGTCTTTTATGGTTTATACACATATTTGGATGATTTGAAGTCTGGTATCTGGACTGGGCAGCTCCTATGGTTTTGGATACATGTACCTGTTTTAATCGACCGTTTGAAGGGCTTATACTATCAAGGCGCTCGAAATGTTTTCTTGTTGTATCTGGACTGAAAAGCGAATTCCTACATTTAATAATGGAACTCCGACTGTTTGCTGATCTAGGTGGAAGTGAATGGTGGTCAACGCGGGGATTCAGAGTTGCATTAGATTCACAGCCATTCTGATTATATGAATTAAATCTGACTCCTTCAATAAAAGAACTATTATAGCTGAAAGAACGCTTTTGTTGTACGAAACGACCCCCAAACTTCTGGTCGAAAATATCCCTCTTCCATTCGCGATCCCTTTTATGAACAAGTGGTTTCAGTCGCCTGCAAAATCTATCTTCATTTAGATGAGGTAAATTCTTTACATTTACAACTGAGTCATCTGTTGGGTGGAGAAAATTTGTTTTAGAAGATTTGAAGCTCCTGGAAGCATGAAATATACGTTGGAAAGTGTCAGATATCCATTGTAAACTGCCGCACCTTGTTTTGTTTGTATCACCTTGCTCCTGGTGATACCGAGAAATCTTTCGGCCAGCAGAATGATCTGAAATTAAATTGAGTCCACGATATTCTGAGGAAAAGCATCCTCGGTTAGATGCATAGCTAGAGTCTAGTTTACTACCACCATTAAGACCCCATATGTTAGCAGAGCAGGCACAGTTTGATGCCGGTAAGTCAGATGTCGAACTCGAATCCCTTCCGAGCTCGCATAAGTTAAGTTCTTGATGTTTCGAGACTCCCTGACAAATATGTTGTTTTGTGAATCGCTTGCAAATGGATGGCTGTGTGATTTTTGCATCAGAAATATTTTTATCGAACGTAAACAAACAGGAATTTCCATTATCATCAGATGAGATTTTACCTGGTCTACTTGTTTCATTTTTTTGGTGCGACGAGTACTGGAACTTTATACTGTTACTGTTAGGTGTTTGAGGGCATTCAATGCATTTTTTGTAGTTTACATCCTCGTGACCCGGTAGAGAGTCGACTGGATCTTTCTGAGATTTATCGATTGACTCAACGTCACATGTAGAGTGTGGATGCAAACCGCTTCGCCTGCATACCGCACAAACGTCTTGTAAGCGACCAATGGGTGGAAAATTCGGGTTTTCCAAGTTGACAGTTGGTTCACATTTTATACATCTATGTTTTATTTGTCGAACTGGACGAGATGTATGTTTTGGAGGAAGGGGGGGAATATGTTTAAAAGCTTTTGGTGGGATGGGAGGTGGATTTTTATCAGTCGAAGATGATGATGGAAATTGACCAACTCCACATTCATAATTTGCCTCTTTAGAAGACACAACGGTATGCTTTTCACATGCACAAACTCCGGTCTCAAATTGCATGGCATGCTCAAAAAGAAAACATAGGGCGTGAACAAGCGAAAATATCTATGAAATTTGAGACAAGATGACTTCTGAGTACTTTAAAAGTTGACTCCATCCTTAAAAACACTAAGTATAGTAACGCATACAGACGTAATGCGCGCGCCTCAGAACATGAGTTTAGACAAGTGAAACTTGAAAACATGAAAATTTGAGGTCTGCTCCTAGATGGTTACACGGCATTTTTGATAACGGTAGAAAAGGATTCTTATCAATTTTATTCCGAAATTGAATAGCAAAACAATTTAACTAATAATAGTCAGTTTCACTTTAGAAAGTATAAAAGGTTGGATGATTTGTGTTTGTCCTGGCAACAGTGGGTTTTTCAGCTGATCCAGCCTCCTTTCAATGCATCAGCTGATGGAGCTGCAATCACATGTTGGGGTTATGGGTCCTATTCGTTGTCGATTATATGGGAAAGTGAATTGCCATCCGAGCAGTAATTTAGTCTGGGCTCGTGGAAATCTTATATCCTCATAAATTCTCAGTTTTGAAAGACAAAAAAGGTAAAAACGTGTCAAGTGAGAATTATTCCTCAAATAATTTATAAGCTGTGTTTAAGTCACATACGATCCCTCAATATGATAAAAGAGATAAGTAAGCTCACCCAGATTATCATCACACAAGATCTTTGAGGTTTCAATTGTAGCGGTTAATAAATCCCCAAAATAAATAGGTCTGTAAGTTTCCGACATTGTATGCTGACCACATTGGTTTTAGTGGACTCATCTAGCACCAGATCACGTGTAGGAATGCCGTGCTCAACATTTACTGCAATCGCTAGCCAGATTAGCTCAGAGGACACTCGATATATTGATAGCCTATCAAATATATCTTCTAACCTCCTCGCCTCTGTCTTTTGATTTCACTTGGTGGGTACACTTCATATTAGAAGGTGTTACTGGTTAAAGCGTTGTCAAACTCCGAATACCTGCGGCATCTTCACAATAATCAGCTTAGATGTGGTTCTTTGAACCTTTTCTGACAGCTTACCACCTTCTTTCAGTCAACGACCAAGTGCTCGTATTCCACATCCGTGTTTAGGGCGAACAGATACTGCATAAAAGGTCAAAAAGGTTTCAGCAACGACATGGCTAAAGGCTTCACATATTGACTATAGGGTCCTTCAACCTTTGAGATTATTGCAAGGTAGTAAGAAATGGTTTTTAGTCTATGGCTAGAAAGGACCTCTGAGTCACTGTATGTCTGGAGAGTTGGTGACTCAATATTTTGTACTGTGTATGTATCAGTAAATTTATGACCGTGTGGAATTTAATTTGTCCTACGGGTACACTAGTAGAACCGTAAACGCGTACTGGCGATCATAGAGTCTATGTAAAAGCTATAGTCAGAACAAGGACAACTTGGCATTAAACTTCATCTGTTTCTGAACGTAAGAACAATTAAATTAGTACAGTGATTAAAAAAATACAGTTATTAAGTGTTACCAGAGAACTATAGACATTTGGCTGATTAAAACCTTTATAATAAATATCATTAATTTCACTAAGTTTTTTGGATGTATTTGTTTTACTTAACTTCTGAACTTGTTTGTTTATATCATTATTTTCGGACATTTTGGTTTCTGTTTGTCTTTGGTCTATATTTGGGAGTTTTTGCTCCGGGAACCTACAAAAGTGAAGGTTTTTTTAATTGTTATAATTATTGTTGTTAGAATGACATTTGGGTCGACTATTTGTAAATTGCGAATAAACTTTGGTATCGAAATTATAGTTTGGTTCTATTGTTAATTTGGGTTCTTAAATTGCAAATAGATCGATATAACGTACTTCCATAACGGGAAGGAGCGAAAACATGGACGTAACATTAAGTGAAACGCACAAACATACCAAGTAGTATTGCGTGTCATGTCGAAATGAATAAAATTATGAGTCACATTAATATAACTGAATAATAATGTCTTTCAGTTAGTAGGTCATATGCAGCAGGGATATTTTACAGACACATCAGACCAGATTAACGTGGTGGGTGCTTAAACAACGGTTTGATTGGTTAGTTATGGACGTAACTAACATTCCCTCCTTAAGCAGACACCACGTCCAGGCTTCGTTACCATCGCGCTCAAATAATCGGCCTCTTCCAGTAGACAGAGGTTCCGTATGTCCTGGCTGATCTCTCCGTTGCTGTCTTTACTCGAACTGTTCTGAGTCGTCCACCTGGACCATAACTGACCTGTCTGACTATGGTTTTCGGCCACAGATTTCTCGGTGAGCCAATATTGATTACCAACAGTCAGTCTCCCTGTTGTATATTCCTTCTTATGCACAACTACTTGGATATCGCCTGGAGGGTTGGTAGGTATTCTCGTAACCATCTGTTCCAGAATAGATTGGCTAGTTGTTGACTTTCCTTCCGTTCCGTATTATATAAGCACGTTCTACTCATCTGTGCTTGGGCGAATGATACACCCCTGTAAGCTAACAATAACTTATTTGGTGTAGGTACATCTAGATTATCACAGTCATTAGCTAGCTTTGCTATCAGTCGACTGTTCAGTATTCTCCCAGCCTCCTTTAGAAAATGTCTTCAAAGACTCATCCGTCAATACCTTCTGAAACAGTAGTGATGGTAGAATCCTCCTTACAAACTTAATAAAGTGCCCCCATACATCGCCTCGATGTCTAGCTCTCGGAAGGTTAAAGCGCCATTCACAAACTCTTTTAAAAAGGCATTTGCTACCTTATTCTGGTTACATTTACACATAATCTAAGACTAATATTGACTCCTTTAAAGCTACCAGATGCACCCTTACACTTAATGTCAACTCCTACAAGGCGCCCTTTACATCACAATGTACGATATCACGGGGAATTTGTGTTGCATACTTCTTCAGGATTTTCATTGTTGGCTTTTTTGTTACAGTGGCCTTCGGGTTTTTCGGTGTATTGACTTTCGGTTCGATGAAATATTTTTTAGGTCTTCTTAGAGTTGATTTGGGTTTAATAGCATATGGTACTTCAGTTTTTGGCTTAAAAACCTTGGGCTTAGTTAATAAAAAGTAACATGAAATTGACGAGAGACATTTTCAAAACGAGCATGCTGTACAACACCATATTCAGATACTGAGGCATCGGCAAATCAATGACACTTTCGTCCCCACAGGTAACCGTTGTTCTTTTGATAGAAAAACCAGACTAGTAGTAAATAGGCCTTTATTTAGATCTTTGAGCAGTCACGGTGGAGTGTGGGATCACTTGTTCAGACAAACAAAGCTTATCAACATTCAACATGAGACAATGGGAAATATAATGCCTATACAAAACAAGAAAGTGAATGAATACTTGAACTCTATCGTTTCGACATATACTTAGTTGGTTGAGATCAACTCTTAACCAATCAACTTAAACTGTTACATCAGCTTCCTACTAGAATCGACCTCCGTAGAAACGTCGGTTCGACTATTCTATCTATCAAAAACACCTTAATTCTATTTCCGCACCCCAAGGGAGAATTACCAAATCGCTTACTGTTTGACTCCCAATCCATGACGACTAACTCTGTCAGCAATCGACTATGGTTCATAGGTGTCTTTCCATTTAATAGCTTGCCATTATATTTTGTCGCGTGTAATTTCTTCTACAACTATCTCTGGTGGTTTGCCACGTTCTTCCAAGAGAAAAAGGGTAAGAAAATGAAACAAGATTATCTGAGGAGGTGCCGCGAGCGGGCTACACAACACCATGTTGCTGAGGTATGATTTTTCCGTGCTATGTCCGGCTATCAGGTGTTTACTCACCTGCCTCTTGAGTTGTCCTCAAGTAAAAAGTAAAGAAGAATCTACTTCAAAGGCAATGATGAAAACCATTAAAACTTAAAGAACTGTTCCACTGCCTGCATAAAATAATAATAAGGTGCAAAAAGAAAATACACAAATATAATTGATAACGGTTCGGTTCCACGTAAGTGTTTGGCTTCCAGAATGGATTGGTAATCTGGAAGGAAGTAGACAGTGTAGACATCTTGTGTACAAGAAGTATGAAAACAAAAATATACTATTTTAGAATGTATATATGTAAGTTTGTGAATTTTTCAGAAGTTGGTCTCCTCATCAAACTCGATCAAATGTATGACCTTGAGTCTATGATGACCAGGTGCGTAATCGCGGGTGTATAAGATTACTCCTCAAACCGGTAAAGTAAAATATGCGGTTAACGAGAAAAAAGAAATTTTACAAAGCATTTCCTTTATGATTATCCCTTTCCACCGGTGACATAGCATTATTATGCGGAGATGCTTCCCATTTTACTAATTACTTACCCACTCCTTTGCCCTCTCGCAGAGGACCATAGGCCACTCATCAATAATCATCCTCGGTAGAATGGACAACAAAATAGGAATCCACTTTTTTGAAATTAAAACAATAACCTTCCTGTATCGCACGTTAACTGAAGCATGCAAAGGATTCCAAAAAGGACTTCTCTATGTAGTTTAGTTCGAATGAATCTTACGCCTTTCTGTAAGCGAAAATTAATATGGAAGAAAATCGGGTTAACAGTTATTGATGAGACAACACCTCAATATCAGAAGGCAATGAACATTTGTACCTCGACTCTCAGCAAATCTCAAAGAAAGTCATTTTAAGGAGTCTGAAGAACAAATTAACGCTTATATTTGAATATAAGCCAAAGGAATAAGAAAAGGAAACTTCACATGTAGCTTTTCTAGGGTGCTGATGTTTCCAAACCCACACAATGTAGGAAGGTCGGGCATGAGGTCAGTAACCTTAACCCGTAGGAAGCAAACTTGCTAAGAAAAACGCTAACCAGAATAAATAAATTAAACCAATTAAACTTGGGAAAGCAGAACGACCTGACAATATACCAGCCAAAGCACTAAAGTCACACATAGAAGTAAACATGCAAACATGCTCCACGTTCCATTGAGGAAGATTTGCGAGGAAGAAAACGTGCCACTGACAGACTGGAAAGAAAGATACCTCATCAATATACCGAACAAAGGAGATATGAGAAAATATCAAAACTACACAGGAATCACACTATTGTCAGTACCACGAAATATACTCAACAGTGTTGCTGAACCGGATGAAAGACTCAGTAGACGCCCAACTCCGAGATCAACGGGTTAGATCCCGTAAGGATCAGTCGTGCACAGATTAACCTGCGTCACTACTGATTATCGTCGAACAATCAATTGAATGGAACTCGTCACTATACATCGACTTCCTCCATATATATATATATATATATATATATATATATATAGGTAGGTGGGAAAAAATGAACTTCGTCTACATGAACAGAACAAGAGAAGCACGCCACAAAATCCCTAGCATTGCGCTTTACTTTCTCGGATAAATTTGGTCGAGACTTATAGTGATAAATATTCATGTGTTAAAAAAATAGAAAAAATCAGCACTATCTTACCTTTCTCAATTCTAACATGCTTCGATAAAATGAAGATCGACTATCTTGTAACGCAGATGACAACCTTTGGCTAGATGTGCGTGTTGAGCTGATGGGCGCTGTTGTACTTATACTATCAGACGCCCTAACATCATAGGCGTTATAGGTATGACAACTGCTCACAGGCTGAAAAAGAAGAAACAAGAAAAAATAGTCCGATGAAGTGTTCAGATACAAAGCTGTTTATTGATTGGAACCCTGAAAAATCAAATGTATCGTTAGCTTACTGAGAGGCATTAAAAACTGAAAGAGGTATCCATCTATTAATATGAAAAAAGGGTTTTAATACGCACGACATCGTTCCTGATTGTATTAATAAAGTTGGATAGTAAATTTACGACATTAACGTGGGAAACTGTTACGTTGACGCGTCTTTTATTTCTTTGGCATTGCAATTTGCTAGTCTAATACCATATTGGAGTATGGATATTAAGAAAGAATATGTTCCAGAGAACCGAAGCAACAAAAAGTACGAAAGTGGGGGAAAGAGAGTTTATATAGAATTTATGGGAAAAACATTTTCAAACCGTTTATCAAGTTTGATTGTTCGAAAATGAACTAGTTGACATATAGCAATTAAGCCTTGTACAGAAAATGGAATATTCAGACTGATCCTCAAGGGCTGTTATTCGTTTTGGTCGACGATGTACTGTTCATGTCCCCACCCTCCACCAAATGTTAGAACACCGTCATACTTATCAAACGCCAACAATCGTAGTTTTTCTTGACATAAGGGATGCCTTCAATTCGTTGGATGGGACTGTTCTCTGAGATTGTCTATTGAAGAAGGGTGTGCCTGAGAAGTTTATTAACATGGTTATCAAAATCAGGGAAACCCGTTCGATCCAGAGGTTCTGTGCCCATAGAAGCATCACAATAAGCAATAGATATCTATTGGTACATGCAGGATTCAATAAAGCTAGAACAAGAAGACATCAATCAACAACAGTCGAAGAAGAACAGAGAAAGCCAACGCACAAGAGGAATACATAGTGGTAAACAGAAGTATGATAAGGAGCATTAAAGTTCTTCGTGCGCTGGTATCTGATCACAGTTTGATCTTATGGTGATTGTTGTCGTTGTGAATATGCCTCTAGCCTTGCACATAATTGTCGAATTAATTCGCGTTAGATTATGACGGAATAAAATATGTTAAATACGAGGACAAACTTTGAATCCGCATATTTTGGATGTACGAGTTGAAGAAAGTGTAGCGAAACGAAACGAAGCAACGCGATGTGGAGAAGACGAGTGTACCAACTCGTTTTGATCAAGCGTGACCCAGTATTTATAATCAGACATGTAATGAATAAGGTAAGCATTTAATAGACCTAATCATATAAACAGTCGGGGTTAATAAGCTAAAAATACACTAGGTCGAAATGTGGATTAATGAGTGCAGTGTGGTGTCGAGTCGCAATTGACCATGATCACCACCACAGGAAGACCACGTACCAGTCAACATGTTAGATCTCTCCATAGACCAAATATCAGAAGGCAGTTGATGGCTTTAGTCAAGATGTATTTGTTGGCAAACTTGTGGTATCGAAACAATACGAAGATCGTGCCAAGGGATACGAATGGAACAACTGGGCGAACAAAAGTTCGTGCAAGGTCACAAGTAACTGAAGAAAGTATGTGCTTATTACAGTTAAAAATACATGTACAGTAAAACAATCACTGATACACTTGGTTATAATACTAATTGTTTCAGTTATACCAATCGCGTTCTCTTGATAAAAGTAGGCCACTACAGGAGAATAAATAAATTGGTCCGTCCAGAAGCTAGAATAACATATATTGGTTATCTTGAGATTATGTGGCTGTAAACAAATCCTCAAAATAAATAATTATCTAAGTATTCAACATTGATGTTGACATAATTGGTTTAGAAGGACACACCTTAGTTAAAGGCGACAAGCTACGCGTCCTCAGTATACCACCAGCGGGTACGCCGTGCTACTTATCCTTTACAATTAGCTAGCTTAGATAGAACAGTTCTCGACGTGTTGGAAGAAAACATAACAGTCAAAAAATTAGCCGACTACTCATTCAGCACATAAAATATATTTACATGCAATAATGAGAAGGGTTGACAACAATCAGAAATAAGACGAACATAATATTAAGATAGCCTGGTAATTAAAATGAGAAGTTAATGGTTGAGGGTTTCAAGTGATTTACGATTTTATAGAGGAGCTATTGACCAGTGCAAGCACACTCTCAATATCATAAACTATCTACCTCCTGTCGAATTTTATACCACTATGACGGATTGCTAGGACTTGACCAGTTAGGATTAGGGAAGATCTGATCATGAAAACACAAAATAATGGATAACTTTCTCAAAAGGCTGACTTTTCATAGCCATAAAGAATTCACATGTACAATTGGAGAAAATGTTTGAAAAATCTGAATTTATTAGCAAGATTAGACATTAAGTTGTTAATTTTTCAAAGTACATAAACAGAACAGTGAACTTTTGCATAGAGTGCTGGACATTTAAAAAGTTGTGCTTCTGTCAACAGTTTCGAACGAAGGCGGGCATTTGCAGGCTTTGAATTTTGCATGTTTATTTGAAGGGTTTGTTGCTTATTATTTCTGAGTGGCACTTTTTGAGTTGTGTAATACTGTGACCAAATGTCACACACTTCTCTTTTTCATTAAAGATGTGAACAGTGTAGCTGACAACTCACTATTGTGAATCAACTAGCAGTAATATCTGGGACCTATCATTAATTAACAGATTTTCATTTTAAGCAATGAAGTTGGGGTCAATTTAGTTATCTTTTTTGTAGTGTATGTGCGAATATGAGTTCCGTACGTGAGATTTTGGCATTACTTTTGCAATCAATGTGTACTCTCTACACGTAAACGTCAAGAAGATCGGTTAAGTCCTATATATTCACGCGGCAACATACGTATTCAGTACTTGTTGTAAATTTTCTGAAGCCAAGATTGATATACGCAAAGTTTATAAGTTCGTCAATTCTCACACTGATTGTGGTCTATTTGGTTTTTCTACAATTTACAGGTGATTGAGATGACTGAACTAGTGCTATGCTCAATGAATTAATCCTTCCAGCAAAGTAGAGTTTTAAAAATAACTAGTGTCTAGACGGCTGAACTTAAACATATGTTATTAGGAAGTTTATTAATGTACGAAATAATGGTTGTTGTCAAATAATTTAATGACCAAAGATAAAATTGAGAACCATAATACAGCACACCATCCTTTACGCCTGCTCGTAGTAAGGTCATTGTGTCATCTTATCGGATGGGAGTTGAAATCTGGATTAATTATACGGCAAAAAGCTTTTAGTAAAGTATGTGGTACTATTTTGTCTTGAATGTACCAAGTATTCTCCCGAAGGGTTCATGGTAGGTTAGTTGAACTGCTTCAGATGGTAGTCAATTCCAAGAAATGACTTCTAATAATGATTGAAAAGTGAACTTACAACCCAATATACTTGGGTAATTTGGGAATGTTTGCCCTAGTGCGGGGAGTGAACTTCAGTATATATTCTGGTGGGGAGTGTTTAAGACTATAAATCATTATTAGATCGCCACTAAGTCCTCTATATTCTTAAAGGTATAGGTCCAGTGTTTCCAGGGATTACTACTGGAATCCAAATCTAGAGCTAGGGACTGATTTTGCCATTTATCTCTGAATACACTTCAAAGTAGTCCTGTCCTTTTGAAGTGGAGCCAAATAAAACTGGGAGACTAGATAGAAACTCCTATCAAACTGGTCGAAGTACATTTCGAAGTTACTAGCGTAAAGCTGGTACAAAAACCATTTTGTCACCACATGATTTTACGCAGTAACGGACCAAAATATATCTTTCTACTAACGATACTTATAATGGGGACTTAGGTTGTATTTGTGGTTTGGATTATGCTACAAATTGAATGTTTAACTCTTTTAAGTTTTGTAAGCTTACCAATTTCTATCTGCCAAACTTTAAAGTCGAGTCAGATCCTTATGAAATAATAATCTGTCCATCTGGTTGTAGACTTCAGTGCTTCACATCGTCAGCTAAAAATTTGTTTTGGGAATACCTGGCGGGGAATGTTGCCAATGCAAATGCCCTGATACTAAAAATTGAGGGTCCCTTATAGGGATTTTTGTATTTCAAGAGAGTGGATAGTTTACCTTGACATTAAGTAGGTGTTGACCAGTCGATCAACAGGGAATAAATACCTAAGGTTGCTGATAAAACAAAAAAATTGATCCGACCAAAGACCCACAAGGCCGAAATGTATTGCATCAATCTGTTACTAACTACTTATCTTGATCTAAATCTCAAACATCAAATTAACGACAGTTTACTTTCAGTTTCACCGATATTAATTTTATCGTTCTCTCATAACACGTGACGACTTGGAATAGTACTTTTGTATAGGCCCGATGTATCTGTATGTCTGCGGTTGTAGCTAACTATTTAGTAACTTCACATTACTAAGACGCGTTTGACTGTTGTAGATGGTTTTATTGTCGCGAAATAATAGAATGTCTCCACCTTAATGCACATCTATCGAATTAATTCTCATGGGGACAAGATAGTTTAACACCATTGTTGGAGTTTTAGTAGACCCCAGAAAATTGTTTTTGGAATAGGATCGTTACAAAATTTGGAAACATCAATATACTATTCCTAGTTAAGCATTTATTCTGGCAATTAGGTTTCCAAGTTTTAAAGGGCTCTTCTCTAATACTACATACTGCTCTGCTTATGTTTCTTAACGTTTTGGATGCCGCGACCGGTTCTATCATTACCAGCCTTTTTTATGTATGATATTCTTATCAGGTCGAAAATTGGTGATGTATATGTAGACATGATGCATTCCACTTCCAGCCAATGGCTTCAACCATTGTCACACAGCCCCACTACTCGTTTCCCAGCATCTGGTCTGCCTTTCAATCATTTGCACCAAAATTTACCCACCCAGTCTAGTCCCAGTGTTATGTTAGCATCTCAGATCACTTCATCTGAACCACTATTTCCTTTGTCAAATACATTCAGTGTTGATACGCAACCTGGGACTTTTCTAGCAGGTATGTTTTACGCTGTTACTGTTTTATAATAATCATTATTAATTCCCATATTGACGTAGTTTTAAGTAACTTGGTATTATTCCTTCTATGATAAATAGTTTCTGTCAACATAATCGAGCAGTTCATTCTAATTCTTTCATTCTTTTGCTCATAATTTGGGTTTTACACTCGATATTTTTTGGTGTAGTGAGTGATCTAATCTCAAGACCAGGCCGTCTTGATAAACAAGCTCAACCATATCCAAGTTTCGGCTGGTGATCATGACACATTTGACACTTGGATTATTGCAACCCTAATATGTACCATCTCTTATTGAAATAACGTAGTAGAAAAAATGGTCTTCTGTGACATTTAGAAAGACCGACGATGCTGTCGCATACAGTAAACTTGATTGTTCATATTATGGAATGCTGTAGTATTGTTTCGATCATCTGGTTTTCCCTGACGTTTGATATTTAACCACAAACATTGTTTGGGTACTGTTTGAGATTTTGACTCAAATTTCACAAAATAATTATGTAATATTCCATATATGATTTAATGTATGATGTAGGAATGTAAGGCCTTTTTTCCTTCGTAGTTCCAAAAAGCAATATTCAGTTCCTAATCAATAATAGAAAAATTTTAATCAAAATTGATTGATTGAATTAATTCAACGTAATTTAACACATCACTTAATTTTCTAAACTTATTAGTATTGTACTGGGATTATGATAAAACTGTGCTACCTATCCAAGCTGAAGTAAATATACTACTAGCATGTATGCATTTTTAGAAAAACGAATTCCTAGTTTTTCGTTCTAAATCACTATATTTTATATTTTTCCTGTGTTTTCTTTTTAGATATAAATTCAGAACCTCAGCCTGTAAGTTTTATCAAGCATTTACTTGCATTCCATAAAAATCCAGTGATTGTGATAATCGTTTTGGAAAATTTTCAGCGGAACATTACAGCCCAAAAAGCTTATTCTCTCTATTCGGTTTATCTGTATATGGTAGATTTTGTCTATTCTGCTGCATTTAGTTTGTACATGAGCGTAATTGTAGAGATGAGAATAAACGTATGTATTTATAAAATGGACTATGTCCTATACAGCACAATGTGTATCAAACAATTTATCGAGGTATAGAGAACTCTTAATTCCTGGAGGTTTGCAGATTGATATATCTAGAATCGCTGAACTACTGGTTCTAGTAAATTAATAATTAATTTTTGACTGATTCTATAGTAGTTAGAAACATAAAGGTTAGCTCTTGATTAAAACGAGTTGGATTCTGTAATAGCCAATGTATCATTTTCTGTAATTACAATTTGTCACCACTCTACATATAGACTTTAAACAATGACACTTATGTGCGCCAGGGTTTTTTGTCATCTAATCAGACAAAGTCAATAGACCTGGAGTTTTACACAGCTTAGATTAACCAATGTGAACCTGATTTGTATTATAATCCGCAAGATTTATTTTGTCGCACATCATAGTTAGCTAGCGCTGTATATGTATGTAACATGTATTAACCAGATCGATTACTACTCATTTGTTGATTTTATCATGAATTTAAGAGCATGATATGTGGCAATTTGAAATATGTCCATCCTACAAATAAGTGGATGTGGTTAGTTTATTCTGAAACACTACCTTAAGATGTTTAATAAAGTATCTTATAACCCGTCTTGTCTGTGGCTCTTGACATGGTTTATTTTCTTAAAATATTTTCTAAATTCCTTTGGTTAGTTTCATCCATCATTTGAAAAGATAACTACTGGATTTTAGGTTGCTGTTTAATGCAGTAGGACTTAATATTTGTTAGGATGACTTTTTTGTCGAAGTTTTGATTCTGATTTAGATTGCTGTATACTAGTGAGATGAAACTAATTTTAATAGATATGAAAATTGTTAGAATGGGCTATTATTAGCAAACTATAAGTTGGAAAATAAAAAAGGATTATTGGAATCTTTTATTCACCAAATATTCGGCGGAGAGATTATAGTTTAAACATAAAGTTTTCAGTTGTTTTGTTATAAGCTGTAATTATGTTCCATCTTCGATCTGGGGGATTTTGATTGTGCTCGCATCCCTAAGAGTAGGTATAACTACAAGCCGGAGACTTTATCCTGTACTTCATCACTAATTTTCGTTAATTTTCTAGTTCATATTGCTAGGAGTGGTAGTCAGTTGTTACACTGAATAATGAGTATTATCTAGTTTCGCGGTACCTAGGCTCTTTTAGTGTGTTGTCATCCATTTTGAAATTATCATATGCCAACTGTTCTTTTTAGCTTGGTCCATTGGGTGCCAACTACTACAGTTTCAGTCATGACCTATCAAGTGGTGTTGATTCTTCCCCAGCTAACCTGTGGTACAATCCTTCTACTCCAACTGGCCCAATGACGGGGTCATTACAGAGGGAATGCAATATAAATGTCGACTGCTCAAGTAGTCTAGGTAAGATAATTTATTTAATAGACAGATGACTACGCGCATATTTTGTTAAAATCTGATTAATTCCATAAAATTAAACGATGTTACTTATTATGTAAGAGCCTGGCATAAATGTACATGAACCCGAGTTGTCATATCAAGTCCGCAAAATGAGATTAAATTAACAAGATGAATAGCTACGAATTCTAAATAATAGTAGCCTTAATTATAGTCCAAAAGATTAAACCTTGTTAATATATTTGCCGCTCAAAAATCTAGTTTATCTTTTCAACTTTTATCTTTTTACATTTTCTACTGGTTAAATTTGTTGCCATATCAATCTATTTATGGTAGTTTGTTTCCCAAACTTTTTTATTCATTGCTAATGGTACTACCTAATTGCCAAGATCGAAGTAGGTGAGGTGGGACTGGAACCTGATATCTAGCGGTTTAAAGTCGAACATCACTACTTCAGTACAATAACCGCCAGCATTGGTTAGAGGTCTTGAGTAACATGGATTAGAATCAGTCACAGTGGTGCAAGTACATTCATTCTTTATCACCCCTTAGATTTCGAGCTTTCAGTGTTTCTTCATGCAAATCTTTTCATCCCTTATTCTTGAATCACGCTTTCACCATCATTGATACTATTATTATTTACACTCTTTTGGTGTTAATTTCATTTGTTTGTTTTGATTTAATACAACGACTGGGGTCAACGCACATTTTGTGACCATTTCGCTAAATATTAGTTTATATAGTTTAAGGAACTAAATTTCCTTATTTTATTTATTTATTTTAACACATAAGTATAGGTACAGGGAGGCACCAAGTACATATGTGCCACACGAATCTCAATTGATTTGTGTGAGGGCTGTGATACTGTCCGGGTGCCCAAACCGAACCAGGTGGTTTTCTTAGGGGGCCACACCCGAAGCCTTCGACCTGGACGTCTGACCCACAAGGCAGTGGAGCATCGTAAGGAGATGCAGTCCCATGGTAGCCGGTGACCAACGATTGGTTCATACGCCATTTGTTCCTTCAGGATACTGGAGCCCATGTGCACCATTGGTTTGGAGTCCGGTTAAAGCGCCGGACATTCGCTTTTCGTCCTCTCGTTCTTGTAAACAACACCCCCGCCACGAGAAAGCAGTGAGTAGGACTTCCCTGGCAGAGGCTATATACGCATGGCCATGTGAGAGCATTTCGAGTGGGAGAGCGGACTCTCCCTACTCTCAGCCATACCAGGGCATTTGGGGGCAAAAATTTCCTGGTCGTGGTCTTGAAGACAGCCATTGCTATTGACTATAGATTAGATTTGATATTGACCAACCATGTTCTTTTGCCACTTTTTCTCAACGTTGAAAAGTAATGCACCCTGTAGAAGTCTTTGGGAAGGCATCTGTAAAACGTCAGGAAAGTAAGGCTGAGTTCTCGTCAGTGGATGACGATACACATTGTCTGCATTACTAACAAGTCTCGCGACTGTGTGTAAGGAATCCTTTAGAGACAACTATAATGCGGATCTCTAACTGGTTGACTTCCATCTGAGTAGCCTCAGTGTTGTTGTATTGTAAGACAACGTTATCGACTTGCTGGGGTATGAATGATCACTTTAGTCAAACGATTTATACGATGTATTTTCTTCAGAACTGTTTTCGCAATATCATTTAGAGCAGGAGTGAACAGTTATGAGAATATTAGAGAACTTCGATTAGGTCTCCTACTACTTGTGTTGTGTTACTTTGTTTGATGTGCTATTGTACGGAGCTTTGGAGATTATAATAAGACTGTCAGACATACTGTTCCTCAACACATTACGTGTGAAAAGTAAACACAATTTAATGCTGTCTTAGAAATAAGTGGTACACTCACTTTATTATAGGATCATAGAAAAATCGTAGTTTCCCTTATGTTTCCAATTAGTCCAATCAGTCTCCTGGTAAATGGTTTAAGAAAGAGTTTCTGGGACTAAGCATGTAAAAGATAATCGCAGCCCGATTTCAATTAAATTTGTTTCTGAACCATACTCAAACAGTTTAGTCTCTTTAAGTCTTTAGGAAATATGTATAGAGTATTTGCAAGCAGCATCTACGTACAATCAATGAATTGGTTGGTACATTAGTGAACTCAGTAGTGTATGTTTTAACTTCCTAATAACCGTTCCTTAGATATATGATGCTGAATAATGTTGATGTACACTAGAGGAAACTAGAAGTTTATTGGTAAGAATCTATGAGCTCATTAATTGTTCATCCAAACTTTCTCTAATCATAGGCTTCTTAAATCTATTACTTGCTATTGGAGTACTTGATAGGTGGCTATTTTTTTTACAAGTTAAAAATACTTTACGTTTTATTTCTTCCTCTTTAATGTCTTACATCAACTCGACGCCCAAATACTGTGAAACTATTCGATCAAATTTAGACAAAAGTTCTTATTTATTTATTTTTTCACTCTTTTGTCTTATATTCATATTAAGATAGCTTCCTTGTAAATTCGCATTCTCTCTGTCATTCTCCGTAAATTTACCAACTCATATCAATGTATTAATGAATACACCAATTTTTGGATTATTTATAAATGAAGCGGTCTTTATTGATTCAATCTTAATCCTAACACTAGCTAATTTATGTATACAGTACGCTTTTTCATCAAGGGGATATTACATAAATTTCTTGTCTATGTAACATATTGCTTCTCATCTAATTATGGACAAATAAACATTAGCATTACGCTTGTCTGTGCTATATGTGTATTACTATTACTATTATCATTGTTCTCGATTGGTATTATTCTAGAAAACATCAAACATATCTGGTAAACTCGTCATATTTACACTATGTACATATAGAAGTCCTAGTCTGTTTTTATTTTGCTTATCTGATAAATTTGTCATGCTTTTTGATGATTACGATTACCTTCAACGTGTTGATTAAGTAAGTAGACAGATGGACATCTTGACCAGTTGTTAGTAAAACATCAATTCGACACATTTCTTTATAGTGTGAATATTCTCCCTTGGTATGTCCTCTTTACTGAAATTTTCTGTGTATTTTTCTTTATTCTATCATAGTCATTTCAGTGTAACACATGAGTTTTCAAATTTTCCTTAATTTCTATGACAATTCTATATAGACCTTCAGCTCTGTTTTTGTAACTGTGCTGTGAAAAAAGGGCAATATACTAGGTACTTCTGAACTAGATATTTAGTGTATGAAAAACTTTATTGTTTTTTACATTAAATCCCCCCTTGTGCCATTTCGTTTCTATATTTATCGTTGTTGTGTAGGTGCTTTGCTTTTATGTGTTGACAGTTAGTTGTTTTATCCATCTCATACGTGCGTGTGTGTTTACTTCTTTTCGCTTATTTCGATGTTGATCCACTTTCCCCCTTCTCTTTCTTCTGTGTTCTCTGTTTTCTCTATAAAAGTTTCTTCCTTTCGACCATAAAATATCCTTTAGTACACTCTTCTTTGTATAAACTTGGTATCCTTAACAAATATTTCGTCTAGTTGCATATTTGTTTTGTTAGTTTAATTTAAGAAAAGTTTGTTATTTTTCTTTTTTATAATAGAAACTGTTAAATTCATATATGAGTTAATAAAAAAATAGTATGTTGTAGAATTATATTTACCTGCAGCATAAATATCTAATTCTCGGCCGACTTAAAATATAATCAGAATACCATAGAATAAGTTCGCTTAATGTGGTAAAGTGACATTAGGAATGGTTATGTAGAAAAAAAATCCATCTTCGATAGATCGATCAGTATTTCCGTCTATTCTATTGGAAAGCTTCTTATTTTGAGACAAGGGTAAAATTATATTTCAACCATAATTCATATAACCAGAAATTGTTTTTTCCAGAATATTCATAAAGCTTGAAGTAAGTGTTTCAGTTAGTGTAGTTCAATTCGATTTTCATAACATTCAGGTCCAACCACTTCATTAAAGTTGTATGTTTTTATGTCTAAATTAATTCCACTTTAACAGATATCAACATAATAAGTTTGTTTTCTACAATATGTGGTTAAATACCTTTTTATAAAAACAATACAAAGTTGTTAAATTTTGACTTACTATCTTCTGTCCGTTGAAAAACCATAGTTAATGCATCGAATGCTTAATATTGTTTATATTGTAGTGTTAGAATTTTAAGTTAGTCTGTATCTAAGCGAGTATGATTGTCTTATTTTTATTCTGTCTCTAAATAACAAAATTCACTCTTATTCAGGGCGTAATGATGACCCGGTGCAATTGATTCCCGCGTGCACCTCAGCTACAGCAAAAATACTCACTTCACAGGTAGGTGAATAATTTTATTTTTAAATCCATGTATTATTTTCTATTTTTAAAAGTAGAATTGAGAGTCCGTTAATTTTCTTGTTATATCAACTTGTTTTGTTACCCTTATCTTGTATCATAAATTCATTAAACATTTAGTAAACTGTAACAGTGGTTCTAGGCTGAACAAAATCATCCTAGACTAATTATTTTGTAGTTACCTTAGTGTATTATTATTTTTAAGAATTGTAAATTTCTAAACTAATTGGTGTTTTTACTGAGATCACGAACCGATCGATATTAGACCACCGTTGAAAACCTGGGTGACTCCTCAGCAGTGCTCATTCACGATTCCACATGCGGGAGTTGAACCAAGGACCTTCGACTTCGCGCGAACACCTAACTTCCTGACCACTTAGCCGGTATCCAACAGTGTTAATGTTTAACTTCAACTAATCCATGATATTGCATCACCATCTTCCCTTGTCTTCGGTGCCTCACACCCGATACGTCTCAACTCCACTGGTTACGACATCTCACTAGAAAAACGAAAAGTACCTCTCGAAGCTATTCACTAGTGAGCACATGATACTTATCAGTATAGGGTTGTGGAGATTGTTGAGACCGAAAGTCCTGGGTTCGTGTCCTGCTCACGGGATCGTGGATGTGCACTGTTGAGAAGTCCCACATTATGATGAAACATCCAACCAGTGCTTCCAGGTTTTCACTAGTGGTCTATCATTGATCGGTACGTGATCTCAATAAAAAAACTCAACAGTCTTCACAGCCTTTTATTGATATTTGGTGCTTGTAGATTGACCTGGCTATTACACACTACACTTACATATAATTCTTGATAAACTATTGAAGCGTACGCTTCTTGCTTAAGGTTCACATGGTGATCGTGTTGTTTATAATTGGGATTAGGTAATGTAAGCCTAATTAGATCATAGGGTAGGAAATGCACTTATTTTCAAAAAAAATCTTTCTTTTAATCATGAAGGAGCTTAGTGTCATTTAATATTTTCTCTTCTCTAGTTTCAGCTGTCCTTCAGCTACTCTACAACTACCCTCCATTCCCAGACAGTGCGAATGGAACATTGAAGTAGGTCCACTAACTCTAGCTGAAGTTCAAAAGGCTATAGTTAATCTAAAACGAGGAAGGGCAGCTGGTCCAGATGGATTGGCCCCAGAGGTCTTTAAAGATGGTGGTCTAGTTTTAGCAATTAGGTTGACTAATATTTTAGCTAAAATCTGGGAGTTAGACGTCATTCCATCTAACTGGTCACAATCACTTATCGTCCCAATATTTAAGAAAGGGTCAAAAACATTCTGTGACAACCATAGAGGGATTAGTTTAACTAATATAGTATATAAAATACTAGCTTCGATAATTTTCGGACGCCTAACTAAGACTCGTGAACTGCAAACACGTGAAAATCAGGCTGGCTTCAAACCTGGTCGTGGCTGCATCGACCACATATTCACCATTCGTCAGGTTCTAGAACACAGGCATACTTATTGGCGTCCGACAATGGTGGTATTCCTTGACTTAAAAGCAGCGTTTGACTCTGTTGACCGAGAGGTTCTGTGGCAGTGTCTGTCATTGAAAGGCGTACCTCAGAAGTACATAAACCTTGTGAAGGCTCTTTACTCGAACACTACTAGTCGGGTCAGAGCTTATGGCGAACTGTCATCTGCTTTTACAACCTCAAGTGATGTCCGTCAAAGCTGTCCACTTTCTTCTTTTTTGTTTAACATTATCATAGATCTCCTGATGGAAATGACGCTCTCATCGACTGAATTCTCAGGCATTGGTCTCCTACCAGGTGGTCCACTTATCGACTTAGAATACGCAGATGACATAGTCGTGTTTGGTGAAGACGCTGATAAAATGCAGTGCCTTCTGGTAGCACTGAGCAACAATGCCAGAATGTTTGGGATGCGCTTCTCTCCCTCTAAATGCAAGTTGTTGCTTCAGGACTGGTCTTCGTCAACACCTGAACTAAGGATAGGGAGTGAAGTAGTCGAACGCGTTGACAACTTCACTTATCTTGGAAGTCTGATGAGCCCTAATGGGTTGGTGTCTGACGAAACCTCAGCACGCATTCGAAGAGCTCGTTTGGCTTTTGCCACCTTACGTCACCTATGGCGCAGGCGAGATATCCGTCTAGCAATTAAGGGTCGAGTATACTGCGCTGCAGTTCGTTCTGTTCTAGTATACGGCTGCGAAACATGGCCTTTAAGAGTAGAAGATACTCGTAAGCTACAAGTAATTGACCACAGATGTCTTAGAAATATTGCGGGTATGTGCTGGGATCACCGGGTAAGTAATAGTGAGGTTAGACGCAGGGTATTAGGGAATGATGGTAAATCAGTTGATGAAGTTATGAATCTTCATCGACTGAGATGGTTGGGCCACGTGTTGTGCATGCCTGAACACCGATTACCACGACGCGCAATGCTCACTGGTGTTAGGGAGAATTGGAAGAATGTTAGGTTCGGCCAAACCAAAACGTGGCATCAGTCGTTGAAGACACTAACTTATGGTTTGAGCCATGTTGGTAGATGCAGACTGCCTGGTTGGGGTCCGTATGACTGTCGTAACCAATGGTTGAAGACTGTGGGTGACATGGCTCAGAATCGATCACAATGGCGTCGGTGTATACATTCTCCTTCAAACTAAGAGATTAAATTCGCTTCATGTCTTTCCTTCTACGAATTAATTCTTTCTTCCTGTACTATCTCATATGCAATCTTTCTTTGATATACTACTACCTTTGATGTGACTGCTTCTATGAATCCGGTGTTCATCTTGCTGTGCTAATGCGGTATGGCAACTTGGACAGATGCATATATGTGCCTGGTCCTACGTTGCAGCTGACTGACTGATGTATATATATATATATATATATATATATATATATATATATATAACGGCTCTGAAGCCCGGGTGTATGATCTAAACGATGTGCTGTGTTCTTTGGTTTGGGTAGTTTGATTTCGGAACTTTCATTGCGATTTTGACCAACACCATCAATCCCTAGTTTATGCAAAGGTCTACTACGATATTCAAACCATTTAACTCAGAGGACAACCGCCTAAATTGATACGCACATTTGTACCGTCTCATTTTAGTGTCAACGATAGACTGGGTGATGATTGGTAATGCGTTAATGATTTTAATGAACAAAGCCATTTACTTACACAAATCTCTTCCGTATGTAGTGTGAATTCCTCTGACTCATCATGCACAAATATTTATGATATTACAGTATAATAATAGGTGTTTTATTCTTTGCGTATTTTCCGATGCACTAAATGTAATATTAAGCTTACCATTCATTTTGATAAAATATACACTACTTCTGTTTTTTTTTCTTCATTGAAACTTCTTTTAAGATCAACTTGTGCTATGAATAAGTTTTGTATGTAGGAATGAAGCTGTATAACTTTACTATTTATTTGTAACATTCTGTTAATAGTGTTACCAACACTTCGTATTGTATTTTTATTCACATTCTGTATTGTCACGATTGAAATCTAAGTGAATTTGTTTGTCCACTGTCATTTTTATATTAGTATTTTAATCTATCTAATTAAAACAGCTGTTTTATTGTAAATTTGTTTCTTTATCATGTGTATGTATGCATGAGATTTTTCATTTGAGGATATATGATTATCGGAGTGTTAATTATGTACTTGTGTTATGAAGTGAAGTTGATTGTTCCTTTTTTAAACGGTTTTTACACTTTCCTTTATTAAAATTCATGTTGAATCGCATCTTCAGATGTATGTGTGTGTGTGTGTGTAATTCTAACGCATTATGGATTATTTTGTGTACGTATAAAGAGATTACCTTCTGCAACTATTTTATTCGAATATTGGTTTGAAAAGATTCAACTATTGTTACCTTTTTGTCATTTAATAGTAGTAGTCTTTTAATCAAGAATAAAAACGGTGTAATGTAGCTTGTTTCTATAATATTACAAACGATATTAAACAGAACTTTCATTTATACTGTAAATAATTGTTCCATTATTTTGTCTACCACAACAAATGAGTACATCATTATCTTTGTAAATTCGAATTTTCGACTGTTCTCCCTCCGTTGGTATCCGTTAAAATATGTTACAGTTTTAAACTCTTGGTGTTCTTAGTATAAGGTAATTTATCTCTGTTAATTACTCAGTTTTTCATGTGCCAGTGTGCGTGTATATGTAAAGACTATTGACACTATCCGATCGCCAAACAAAAGGCGATGAAATAGGTTTACAACCTACTGTATATAATAGTTAAATGTTATATTTTCTCCATTGAGGCATATCATCATAGCGATAGTTTATTGTAATACCACATAGTTTCCTTCAATATCTCTAGTCAAATATTTTTTAATAAGCGTGTTTAAATTATCGTGATAGTCACTGTTTTTGAATTTTACATCCATAGTCATTCCCACCGCAAAATATATACACTGATGTTACAGTAATTATATAGTGTTCTTGTAGATGAATTCGACTTTTTTTGAAGTCCTTGAATGTTTTTGTATCTCGGGTGTGGGCGAGGGCAGTGAAACAGATGGAGTTAATGCACTTACATGCATCATTGTGGAAGGATAACTGTCGAACTGAAACAATTTCAGGAATTGTATTAATGTGTAGTGACTTTTGTTTTCGGAACTTTATAGTATTATGTCATGAAAATCAGGATACATTCTCATTTTCAAGTGATTGGTTCCATAGTATTAGGCTTCAAAAGAATACCTGTACTGTTAAGAATTTATATATAGATGAAACAAAAATGAAACTCGTCTCCAGGTCGTTTAAAAATTGTTGATTTCCAGCTTGAAATTGGACGTACTTCAAACATGCTGATAGGACTTTACGTTAGGTAATTACGTACCTACACCTTTGGAGTATGAACCACCTACTAAGAATCTACAACCCAGTCTATCTTTGGCTCTACTTTCCAGTTATTCCCAAGTGCTATTTTTTTATGTCTGCCTACAACTTCCGACGCAT